ACCCTTCGTGCTCATTTACACAAATGGGATGTGTTAAGTTAACACATGCAACTGCATTATGGATCAATTCATTTTAAAAGGCACCCCGATGCACTAAGGGACTGCACCTACACTGCAACTGCAGACCTGTAATGCATTTTATTGGGCTACCTTTACATAATGCACAACACACCACAAAGTAAATTGGCCTTTAAAGTGTATGTATATAGATATATAAAATAAAGAAGGGAACACCCCTGTCAGTTCATTTGTTGCGGTTTGTCCGATTGGGGAGATTTCACTTCACTTCCTGTCCCTCAGACACAACCGGAAGTGTAAGGAAATCTACAAAGTGAGGGGAATTGCCCTCAAACAGTTGTCACCTGAACAGGTTTACTCGCTGGAAGATCTCTTGCAGGCTGCAAGGATCTGAATGGTGGCTACGCTTTGTACACAACCAATAAAGAAGAAAAAATTTTTTTTTAAATCAGTGACAGCTCAGGCAATTTGCAATACAACATCGGAGCTGTCAGAGTGCACTAGTTCATCCACTGAAACACAGCATTTCGGCAGATGGGATAATGTGAACGGGCCCCTATACTAGGACAGGGAATGTGTTATTTGCTAGATCAAGAGACGAAAAATGGAAAAGCAAAAAAAAAAAGGACAAATGCAGACAACTCATCTACGCTACACTACAATACCTTTTTGTTTTATGGTTTAGATATGCTTTAAAAGGGACAGTATATCTGTACACCTTGTCAGCTGTGAATTGCCTCTTGCAGGAAAATCTCTTGGTAACCACACAATGCTTTTAGCTATCAGTTGTATACATTTACAGCAGACCACAGGCAGAAAACGACAGCACAACCATTGTGTCTTTAGGGGCAATCTCAAAAATCATGGGGAAGGGCAAACAAAAATAAATCAAATAAACTTTAAGGGGTCTATATACAGAACAACGTGTTTTTACCCAAGATTTACATTGTTTCTAATTGGATTCAAATGGGAAAATGTATGAATCCTGGGTGAAAACATTTATAAATAGACCCCCTGAAGTAGATAACTAAAAAATAAATCCAAATAAAGCTGTCAGGATACATTAGTAAATATCATTTATAGGGTTGCACCAACTAATTGATTTAATAGATGATAAATCAAGAATGAGAACCGTTAATTCTCATGATCAATACGTTGATTCAATCCGTTGAATTCCCTCCCCACTGGGAGCCGCTGCATGCTGCAGTCTGTGTCCCCTTCAATCCCCGCCTGCATCGTCAGAGGCGATCAAAGGGGATACAGAGCACTGCAGTCAGTGACCAGCAGGGAGGCGAGACCGCTGTGCCTCTGCATTACCCCCTCCCCCACCCCCCCACTCTCCGTGCACCCGCTGCTCCGCCCGTGCCAACGCTGATCCACCCATGTCCTTGCTGCGCCCCTCTTCTGTTGGTTTTTAGAAAGCCGGCATTGAGTCTCCCATCCAGCAGCTATTGGCTACTATAACTGCACCCGCACAATGCCAATCAGCAGAGGAGAGGCCTGAAGGAAAACTATTCTGAAAGAAAAGTTTTGCCCTGTACTGATTTTTCATCTAGAATGTGGGATGGTAATGGACGGATGGGGGGATATGAGTTGTAAACTAGATGTCTGTCTTAACAAAAGGGTTAAAGATAAGATCTTGAAGCATTGCACGTTAATGAAAATAATCTCTAATCTTTCTATGAGGACAACCAGATTCCTTGCGAAGACCAGCCCTGCAGACACACCAAAAAGGTAAGAACCGTTTTGTTTTTACCATATTTTTAGGTATGTTGTGTGAATAGGAACACAAAACATATAGAGGAATTTTCTCAAATGGAACTGCAAAAGTGGAAAAAACTATTTAAATGAAGTTGGAAAATAAAGTGCGAGCCAGCTTCCTGCATCTCCTAATTCTCTTCTTTATGTGCTAAATTATTTATTATAGTCTCTGCCAAACATTTCCTCAATAAAAACAGAATAAAGCTGCAATATTTCCCTTAGTCACGTTCTACCAGCTGTGCATAGAATGCAGCACAACAGGTTAAATGTGTTAACTCAGCAAGCAAACATGCTAGGCTACAGCAAACCAGAGCAAGCCACAAACTGGAAGCAGCAGAGCGTTGTATAAAGAGAGAGGCAACTTGTCACCACACCCACCCCACGCCACCAACAAATGAGAAGCAACAGAAGGGGAGGGTGGCAGCGTACAAGCTTGAAGGCCCCTTGGTGGTATGACGCAGTTAGGCTACCTGATCTTCCCCTCCCTCTGACAACATTGTTCTTGTGCAAGGAAGACAACATAGTCTAAACGGGAGGCGATACTGTAACTTTCTTTCATGTCATAGGTTAGATCTTAATATGACAGCAATTAATTTGCATTCTGCATCACTGTTGCCTGTAAAGATGAACATTTTAAGTAAGATTAATTTAGAGTTACTCTAAAAGCCTAAATATTTACAATAATGAAGGGAAATAAAATCAAAGAATCACACGCAATATTTATTTATTTTTAACAACTAAAATAAGTGAATCATATATATGATTTTTTTTTTGGTTTTATTTAACAAGTGGAGTAACTCAAGTACTCAAGTTTACTAGGCTTTTGATAAAATCCCTAACAAAAAGGGTGGGATTGGAAGGTAATCTACTATAGACAGTAAACATGGAGGTGTGGCACATAAAGGAAGGGAGTACCCATGGGGGTATGAATCCCATGACACCAAATAAGGAAGAGGGCGTCTGAGAATGCAAAAAAATCCAATCAACTATACATATCAAAACAAAATACTACACACACAAAATAAGCTAAAAGTACATTCCATAAGTCAACACCAAGTATAAACAAACAAAGCCCGCTTCCATACACAGATGTGAAATACTTGGTAAAGAGTTTGACGACATCGGATACCATACAGATACTACGAATATGAAAAGACGTGAATTCATAGATTATATTGTGCAAAGTCAGCAGAGTCATTGTTAGTCTCTATACTAAAAGACATATTATAAAAAGAGACAAAATACATTCTGCTAAAGATGTGCTATTAAAATAAAAATCGCAGGCAGGCGTTTCAGATGTAACATTGAAACTGAAAAGTGGCCAAATTATGAAGCATATGTTGCAATTCATTACGGTGCCTCCAATGTACTGTACAAAGCTGACGAAACTGCTCATCTGTTTACCACATCTGTAGAGTCAGGAGACCTGACATGAATCAAACATTTGTCATCTGACAGTACCCATACAATCCACCCAAATCACCACATCCCAGCCTTGGATCACACCACTGCTTTCCCCTCCATAGCTTGTCATCTGCCTGCTGAATACATTACAACACAACTGACATACGATCTTTGACCTTTTCAGTAGAACTTTGAAGCAGCCATGCTTATTATGGGTCCCTGGCTCCACCCCCTCCCTAACTCCACCAATGACCAGATCTTAACCAGCACCAAATGCCTAAAAAAAATAATCACATCAATAAATCCAGATCACATGGCTTGTCTTTACACTGCTCCAACCATTAGGCCCCATTCACAAGTCCCACTCATGGAATGACACAAAAAGTAACCCTCCCTCTCCTAAATGCAAGGATTAAATGCTTGTTAAATTTCAACTCCTGGGAAAAGAATACCCTAGCAGAGAAGCTCCTCCCATACTGCAAGGGGTAAATGTTTGTTTACACACAGGGTACCAGAAAAAAAAAAAAAAGGAGGTTTTACTTACCCAAATTCCTCAATCCCCCAGCAGCCAGTGTGCTCCCAGGGGAGTGAACGTCCTTGTTCCTGGTACCCTGGGCATTGACAAGCATTTATTTCCAGACTTCTTCTGGAGTGAGAGGGATACAGTGCAATACTTGCCTTATTCTAGATTGCTCTGGCACTCCAGGTAGAGGGCCATCCCTCTGTACAGTATGTGGCTATGGCATCGGGGGTGACCCCCGGCCGGAGTGCCTTGCAGAAGAGGCTTCGGGGGACACACAATCATGGAAGTATTACAGCTTATTCCTCTACCCCTAAATTTAAAGCAAAGAATGAGACATTGCCAGCCATCGGGCTGCTTATTGTGATTAAACTCACCCGCCTGTTGTCAGCCCTCATCACAACGTACACAGTGCATGCACAGCTCCGGGGACATTCAAGAGCCACCTTGGGGCCCAGAGTTATGGGATTCCCCCAGCTGGCACCCTTAAAACCCGTGGAGATGTGACATCACTGGAACCGAGCTATCTGCAGACTTTAATGAGCATATAACACTTAAAAGGGGGGTCATTTACCACAAAAACAAGTATTTTTATTTTAGCCATGTGACTCCAATTATCCAATCAGATTGGACTTTACTGGAAAGCACGGTCACTTTTTTTTCTAAACAAGGTAGTGTGTGAGCTGTACAGACTGAGCCTGGAGTAACTGAAGTGACATGTGCTCTTTGACCTTTCAAGTGAACATGATCGGAGCAGCCATGACTTGTCCCGGAGTCCCAGCAGCTGCCTGTGTGATCCCTCTCGGACTTGTCATGGAGAAGAGCGGCGAGCTGTGAGGACAGTGCCCAGGTTACCGAGCACAGAGTGGCGCCAAAACAAGGGACAGAGCTCAAGGTGCGGGCCGTATCCGGGCCACAAGGCCCCTCCCACCTGGGAGCTTCGTCCACAGCAACGAGCACAGACATGTGACCTCCGGTTGCTATGGGTTACAGCACACAGCCTTATCACCGGACAACTGCTGCTAAAATAAACGAGCGGCACAGTCAACACAGGCGAGCCGGGCACAACAATAAACGGGAGCCCGGACAGCGGGAAAGCAGACAGAGCCCAGCAAAAAAAAAGGCCGCGTCCTCCCCTCCCCCCACATCTCCTCCTCCTGTCCGTCTCCCGCCACCGCTTCCCCGGGCCAGGCCCCGCAACCTATCTCCGGGGGAAACACCCCCGAACTCGGCTCAAAACACAACAAGGCCGCACCAGGGAAACTTCCACCAACGTGTCCGCCATTTTACAACTTACCTCAGCTCCAGCACAGCGCGCCTCCCGGGGGAGGGCCTCGTCCCGCCGGCTGCTGCTAATCCCGAGAATAGACGGAGACAGGCTTCCTAAACCGAAAAGTCACCGAACGGCGAGGCCCAATCCTTATCCCGGCCTGAGGTGAGAAATAAGGAGCGCTTTGGCGGCTGCTCGGCTTGAGTTGTTCGCTCCTCGGCAGCTCGAAGTCGAATGAGGCGCGCAGGCGCCACCTGGTGGCCACAAGGCGGCGGAGGCTCTCGCTGTGACACAGCGCCACCTAATGGGCAGAGCCCTTGTTTTGGTTATTTAACCCCAGACTGGACACACGTCCGGTAACCCCTTCACTGCCGTGACTTAACCGGATGTTTGTGACTTTGTTATAGTGGCTGTTGTAGATCGTCTGTCACATAAACCCCTGACGGAAATCTGTTTGTACACAATACGTTTCATGTTTGGAATACTTTGTTATATACTTTGCTCATTCCCACGGGTGTATAGAAAATGCTGCATTGTGATCCATACAATGTATGGTTCTTTATGGATCTGAACGGGTCAGTATTGTATGTTATGGGCCCATGTACACCGGCGCTGCGTTGTGCTCAGTAATCTTGCGCTGCTTTCAAAGTAGAAAGTTCTGGGTGTGCAGTCCGTATTTCTGCGTAATTTACGCACCTACGCAGGTGAAAGCGGAATATGATGGATGTGAATGTTTAACCTCCCTGGCGGTAATCCCGAGTGTGGCCCGGGGTTAACTTTCAGTACCAAAAGCTGTAACCCCCGAGCCACACTCGGGATTACACTACGCTTCACTTACCTTCTCCCTACGAGCCGCGCTGTGTCCTCCGGCCAATGCCGGCATCCTCCTTCCGGGTTCCGTCCCTGTCAAACGTCCGGGTTGCAGGGGGCAGAACCGGCGGGAGATTTAAACGTAAAGAATAGAAAAAGAAAAAAAATAGACAAAAATAAATTAGTAATCAGACCGCCAGGGAGGTTAATGGGCGCTTACACGTCTAAGCTGAAACACTTAAAGAACATGGAAGACGTGTAATTCTGCTGGCAAGATCCAGCGTACATGTCCGTATTTTACCCCCTCTATAGACTTACATAAAGGTGTAGGCCTAAAGACCCTAAAAGTTGATGAATCTGATCGGAATGCTATAAAACCGTCCACTCACATTACAATCTGCAATAGATTTCCCAACAACTATGTAGCATGAGGGCCAACTCCACAACCCATCCAATGGGAGGAATTTATCAGAATCTGGAGCAGCTGTGCCTGACAACCAACCAGCTTTTCTCTTTCATTTTCAAAGCTTAACTGAACACACTAAAGAGAGAAGCTGATTGGTTGTCATGGGCAACTGCTCCATATTCTGTCTGCTCCAGTTTTGATAAATTCCCCCCATGGCATGGGTTGTGGAGTTGGCGCTAGTGCTACATATTTGTTGGTAGAGGATATTGTCCATTGAAAGGGGGGAATTTCCTAAAACTGGAGCAGACAGAATCCAGTGCAGCTGTGCCTGGCAACCAATCAGCTTCTTCAATCTTTAGCTTGAAGATGAAAGCTAGAAGTTGATTGGTTGCCAGGCACAGCTGCACTGGATTCTGTCTGCTCCAGTTTTGATACGTTCCCCACATTGTATCTTGTGGAATGATTTCTGGTATATTTGGGAAATGATTGCTATTTCGTCCACATTCACACCTCCGCATTCTGTGAACGCAGGCAAAACGCGCGCTTTGACGTGTGTGTTCACAGAACGGGTCACGCTTGAAGTGCTTTTACTTGTTAATGGCACCCCAAACGTGGCCAGGCAAACCTGCGTTTTTCCCACACTTGCATGCGTGTTAAAATGTGCAAACCATACAGAAAAAACATGCAGGACACCCGTAGAAGAACCTGCTACATGAGCTACTTTCTGCATTCGTTACATGTGCGGCACCCATTGAAATCAATGTGCAACACATGGCAAATGCAACACGTGTTCCCAGTACACCGAGGTCTGAGCAGGGAGTTTGCGTGGTGTCAGCTATAGAATGCTGTGGTTGGGTGACAGGTGTGATCTCTGGCCATCTGTGTCCCACAACGCCGGAAAGATTCACTTCAGGAGAATCTGCAGCCGTCTTCACGTGATAAAGCAATCTGACATTCTAGAACTATCCGGGACTGCCTGCTTATCAAACTGTCACACATGGCAGCCATGGATGTGAAATGCAGACATGATGAGCCCAGGTTCTTTGGGCTTTTTGATGATACTCATCTACAGTGCATTTGAAATGTGGCAGAACCCCACATACATGTACACAACATACCAGGCTGATGAAATGTTCTTGTGTACATGTTCCTTCAATCCCATTCCATGGAAGGCCGTGGCAGATCCCCACAAACATGTACACAACATACCGGGCTGATGAAAAGTATTTGTGTACATGTTACTTCCATCACATTCCACAGAAGGCCATGGCAGTACCCCACATACATGTACACAACATACCGGGCTGATGAAGTGTACCAGTGTACGTTCCTTCTATCCCATTCTACAGAAGGCCATGGCAGTACCCCACATACATGTACACAACATACCGGGCTGATGAAGTGTACCCGTGTACGTTCCTTCTATCCCATTCTACAGAAGGCCATGGCAGTACCCCACATACATGTACACAACATATGGGGCTGATGAAGTGTACCCGTGTACGTTCCTTCTATCCCATTCTACAGAAGGCCATGGCAGTACCCCACATACATGTACACAACATATGGGGCTGATGAAGTGTACCCGTGTACGTTCCTTCTATCCCATTCTACAGAAGGCCATGGCAGTACCCCACATACATGTACACAACATATGGGGCTGATGAAGTGTACCCGTGTACGTTCCTTCTATCCCATTCTACAGAAGGCCATGGCAGTACCCCACATACATGTACACAACATATGGGGCTGATGAAGTGTACCTGTGTACGTTCCTTCTATCCCATTCTACAGAAGGCCATGGCAGAACCCCACATACATGTACGATGTATGTTCCTTCTATCCCATTCTACGGAAGGCCATGGCAGAACCCCACATACATGTACACAACATATGGGGCTGATGAAGGGTACCCGTGTACGTTCCTTCTATCCCATTCTACAGAAGGCCATGGCAGTACCCCACATACATGTACACAACATATGGGGCTGATGAAGTGTACCCGTGTACGTTCCTTCTATCCCATTCTACAGAAGGCCATGGCAGAACCCCACATACATGTACGATGTATGTTCCTTCTATCCCATTCTACAGAAGGCCATGGCAGAACCCCACATACATGTACGATGTATGTTCCTTCTATCCCATTCTACGGAAGGCCATGGCAGAACCCCACATACATGTACACAACATATGGGGCTGATGAAGGGTACCCGTGTACGTTCCTTCTATCCCATTCTACGGAAGGCCATGGCAGAACCCCACATACATGTACACAACATATGGGGCTGATGAAGGGTACCCGTGTACGTTCCTTCTATCCCATTCTACGGAAGGCCATGGCAGAACCCCACATACATGTACACAACATGCGGGGCCCAATATAAAATGAACACAATGTATATTGAAATCATATCTGTTCTCGTGGAGGAAACCAAAACAATTGTAGTGATCAGCAATTCTGATCGACATGTGAGGTTTTCTACAAGTTGTGATGTCATCATAGGATCCGGCGTCCTTTAACAATCTGCACAACTTTCACCCAATTTTTCTGATTCTTGTGGGAGAATCCTGGGTGAATGGGATGGTGGTTTCATGGATGAGGGTGAATGGTGCGAGTGTATTGTGTGAATGAAAGGCTTTATTGTTCTTTTGTTGTGTCAGGATGTAGAGAGAAGAGCTCAGCATGGCTCCTCAGCAGGAGGACAAGTGTGACCCAGAAAAGAGCAGACAACTGTTTACTTCTCCAATCCTACAACCAGGCGGCCGGGTATTAGCAGCCATTACACCGCCTGGATGCTATTTGTTTCCATAATCGTGTCCCAGGCAGCCTCCTCCCCTCACACACAAGGGTTAAGAGGAAGTGGAGAAAATGGGGGGGGGAGAGGCCATCACACACATGCGCCGTCCTCTTGTTGTCCTCGCCTGGGGAGGCCGGGATGTGTGTCAGGCGGAAAGCTTCATAAATACCTCACACCGTGTTAAACAAACGTACGGGGCGGAAATATGGCGCTTTCAGCACCATAATAGGGGCAATGCTTGCAGTCATGGCGCCCCCGTAGCCGCCGCGCTCGGCCAGCCGGCCCACAGGGTTAATGGCGTATGTCTTTATTCAGCGGCCGCCATGGCGCCTGCTCGCTTTGCCTACGTGCCTTTGTGGGGAGGGAGGGGCTGGAAACAGGAAGGAGGACCGTACAGACATGGAGCCGATAGCCAGGGGACGGGGAGGAATCATGGACTCTCCATCTACTCCGAGGTACAAGAAAACTGGCGCCAAATCAGTGACCCCGAGGCCGTGTATATCCCGAGTGGACGACGTGTACTTCACCCTGTGCATCATAAACATACCAATAAAAAGGTTTCTGAATAATCGTATCATCTGTGTTCATCCTTTGTTGTGTATTGTCACTGCCAATCATGGAGGAAATGAGGATTGGTGTACACAGAATAATGTGTGAATGTCAGTAATGCATATTGAGGGCTTTACATGTCCAATAAATAACAATAATGTCACAGCCATTCCTTAATTGTTGGAGGATTGTGGCACCCTGTCCATCCATACTCCTCTCCTTCCTACTGTGCCATCCATTACTACTCCTTCCTGCAGCGCTGCCCATCTATACTGCTCCTCCCTCCAGTACCGTCCATCCATACGCCTCTCCCTCCTGCAGTGCCGTCCATCCATCCATACACCTCTCCCTCTTGCAGTGCAGTCCATCCATCCATACGCCACTGCTTCCTGCAGTGCCGTCCATCCATCCATTCGCCACTGCTTCCTGCAGTGCCGTCCATCCATCCATACGCCACTGCCTCCTGCAGTGCCATCCATCCATCCATACGCCACTGCCTCCTGCAGTGCCTTCCATACTCCTCTCCTTCCTGCAGTACCGTCCATCCATACTCCTCTCCTTCCTGCAGTACCGTCCATCCATACTCCTCTCCCTCCTGCAGTACCGTCCATCCATACTCCTCTCCTTCATGCAGTACCGTCCATCCATACTCCTCTCCCTCCTGCAGTGCCGTCCATCCATACTCCTCTCCCTCCTGCAGTCCCGTCCATCCATACTCCTCTCCCTCCTGCAGTGCCGTCCATCCATCCTCCTCTCCCTCCTGCAGTGCCGTCCATCCTCCTCTCCCTCCTGCAGTGCCGTCCATCC